GGAGGCATTGGGTGACTGCTCTGCTCTGCCCGCACAGCTCGGGGGATCTTTAAAGGCAGTAGGTGCACCAGAGCTGGGTGCTGCCTGGCTTTTGAAGGACCCAACGTGCACCTGGGTCTCGTGGGGAATTTAGCTTTCTACCTGCCCATGTTGCAGCTTGGGCACGCCAACCTTGCAAAGCTGGGTTTGCATCAGGCACGGGGGCTCGGATGCCTTCAGCTGCTGGTGGCTTCTGCAGGAGCTGGAGGTGCTTGGCCCCAGGTGAGACACAGCCTGTTACTGCGTGGCCAGACAACAAGCCCATCCATGTGTTCGTGATCTTTTCCAACTGTGAACCAAGTCAGCTCTCACCCCCTCCAGCATGCGCTGCCTGCCTTGCACATGCCTTAGCCAGGACACCTCCTCTGACCTATGAAATTCAGGTGAATCTCTTTGTATATTGTTTACTTGTTTAAAAAAAAAAAAAGTAAGTTAAATTTAAGTCTGTAGAAATTAATTTACAACTGAAGGCAGAGAAACCTGAGTTGTAATAAAACGAAGTTTGTGAGATGTGGTTTTTTTATGATGTCATGTACAATAATGTAAAACCAATGTTACCATTTGATACAGCTTTTAAATCTCTGAAAGAGCACTTGCTTTAAAGTGTTTCTTACAAATGAAGAAAAAAAGCCCCCTTTGTTTCTTAATAAATACTTTATGGTGTGACTTTTTGTTTTTGTTTGCTTTGTTGCATTTTTTTCTTCAGTTAATGCTTTACTTTCCTCTGTCTACAAGACCACATCTGATCAGCTTAGTCCTCCAGACCCTGGCAAAAAGCAAAGTTAGGATTTTTGGCTGTGTTTTTAAAGAATAACAGTAAAAACAACAACTTACATGGCTGAACGCTTGGTCAGTCTGTACATAGCATGTCCCAAAATGCCACGGCTTCCTGGCGGCGAGGGGAGGCAAAGGAGCAGGGCTGGAAACAGAAAGCTGGCAGGGAAGGAGGAGGTCAGCCACGGCTTAGAGCAGATGTGCTGAGGTGATGAGCACTTCACAGCAGGAGAGGCCAATAGTTTGTGTCAAAGCTTTTTCTTATTTTTATATGGTTTGTTTTTTTTTTTTCTCTTGGAGTTTTTTTTCCCTTGGTTGAGAGGGGTAGGGTTTTTCCTGCTGCACGTGGTGGCTGTGGATGGCACGGGGAAAGAGAGCGTGGAAACTGATGCTGATAAGCTCCGAGCAAGCACAAGTGGTGGTTAGGAAAGATGCATTTATTTACTTTTTATAGGCTACAGCGCTAGTTGATACCCAGGGTCTATTTGGTTGCAACTCAGAAGGAACAGTCCCACGTGTAATACGGTAACTGGAAAACCCCGGTGCTGCTGCGTAGCACTGTGCCATGGCAGCCCAGGGATGGGCTTGGGCCAGGGACCAGGATGGGCACCACGGCTCTCAGGTCCTACCAAGGAACATGCGTCTGTTCTGTAGGAGTGCTGGTCTTCCCCTTTTCTTTATAATGCAAGAGGCTAAAATCTGAGGATTAAAAAAATCACAGCCACACTTCTAAACCTGCTGCGTGGCCCGTAAATACATTTTTAGCCTTATATGGCTGTAAGAAGCGATGGAAACACTCCTGCAGTCACTTCACCCACCCTGCAGCCCTGGCTGAGTGCTCCCCATGGGGCTCTCTGCGGCGGGTCGTGCAGCTCTGTGCGAGATGACGCATGGCTCAGGAAACCCGCCCTGAGAGGCCATACGCCTTTTTGCTTGCTCAATTTCATCCCATTACTCAGTCCCATCTTCCCAGACCGCTCTAAACAATTCCTCTTTTTTCCTGCTGTTTACACCCCTTAAATTTATGTTCTTGCTCACTTGCAGTTTAAAGTGTATGGCGTACTTTTTCAGTGCCTGTTTCTGAATACATTGCTACCTATTTAAGGCACTGAAGTGTTCATTACTGTGCCGTGCCAGAGATGGTGTGCCTGGCAAGCAGTGATGACGGTGGGGAGAAGCCAGCAAAACACACACAGGCTGGGCTGGCACTGGTTTGCCCACAGCAGGCACCAACACGCTGCTGGTGTCTTTGCAAGGGGAACGGTGGGCACAGCGGTGCCCCTAAGGCAGTGTAGGCAATCCTGCCGGGCTCAGACAGCGCTGACCCAAGGCCATGCCTGTGCCTGCTGGTGCTGGCTCAGAGCAAGATGGTGGCCCGGCCAACCCATGGTGCCCAAACTACTGAGCCACACAGGGGAACAGCACAAAACCATCACCAGCGACACGGCCCCCTCACAACACACACATGGAGAACCACTTTGAAATGTCTTACCTATTAGCTGGGCATGATCAGAGGACAAAGCCCATTCCTCCCCACTAGCGGAAGGTTTGCGTGCCCCTGTACAGCTGTTACCAGCCATTGCCATGTTTATTAGGGGAAAGTGGAGCTTGGTGCAATTAAAGGCTGTTGCTTAAATGTGGCCCATAATGCCTGGGGTTTGGGTCCCAGCTCAGCACGTTAACCTCAGCACCTCCCTTTCAAAATATCTAATGTGCTGTTCGCTTTCAGACGTGGTGGAGCTCTTCTCTCCCCTCCAGTGTACTGCTTTCCCATTCTTTTCCTTCCACTGAAGTTGTTACTAAATATTATTCCCCACATGTATTCTCTTGTATTTTTCCAAGCTGAATCTCATTTTATTGTTTCCTGCTCATATTTCTTGCCTCTCTGTAGGTCCCTTTGTATTATTGCTCTGTCCTCAGTGGGGTTTGCAACATTTTCCTGTCCAGGATCACTTGCAAATGGACTGAACAAGTTACTTAAGCCTGTGCCATCCCTTCTCCTCTTTCCTATCCACACTGAATGGAGCCAGTTCAGTGGGACCCCGAACTGGGGGCCCCCTCCCTGGGGGCTCACAGCATCCCCTGTCCTGTAGCGGAACGTTTAATCCCCATAACAGCATTTCTGTGTAACATGAATGGCTGGATAACACCAGTCACTGGTGCTGTAACAGCCTCCTGTGCCTCATCAGTGGGGAGATGCCCACCACGCTGGCCCATGTGGCACAAAATATCAGTGTGGGCTTCACCCATGGAAAGCCCTCACATGAACCAACACCATGGCGTGGCTGCTCGCCGCAGCGCCCCGGGGTGCACCAATGCCCATAGCTCCTGGGATGGACCTGGCCCTGGGTGCAGCTGCCCCGTGGAGAGGCACTACAGCCCCAGCACAGGGCTGGCATCTCTCTCCCTGCTGCACACATACCCCTTTCCATCCCGACACTTACTGGTCCTGTAATTTGCTCACAGAAATGCTGTCGCATTTGCTTGGCTCAGTTTGTTCTTTATATCTGCAAAATGTCAGCACACCGACCCCGGGCTTTTTTCACCTGGCTCATGACCCTGCACCTCTCACTTACTCCAGCTCCTCCACGGTGGCTTATTCACGTTGTTTTCTCTGGGCCTCCTGTCTTCTCCATCTCTTGCTTGCCCCCATGCCAGACCTGCGCCGAGCCGGGCATGTCCTGTAATTTGCTCACAGAAATGCTGTCGCATTTGCTTGGCTCAGTTTGTTCTTTATATCTGCAAAATGTCAGCACACCGACCCCGGGCTTTTTTCTCATGACTCATGACCCTGCACCTCTCACTTACTCCAGCTCCTCCACGATTCACGTTGTTTTCTGTGGGCCTCCTGTCTTCTCCATCTCTTGCTTGCCCCCATGCCAGACCTGCGCCGAGCCGGGTCGCACTGTGTGGCGGGGGGCTGGC